CCGCGAGAGTCCAAATCCTATCACCTGTCCCGGCGTCACCAGTTTCACTGCTACCAGTTACAAGTGCTGGTCCACAAGAACTAGTCTACCAGTACCAGTCTCTGGTTTGTCAGTACTAGTACTGGTCTACCAGTACTGGCCAGATAGTGCTTTGAGTGTGCTGCAATGCATAGAAAAGTGCTGTACAACTATAAGACCATTTACTGGTCTACCAGTATCAGGTCCACCAGTACCACCAGTATTAATTTCTGGTTCACCAGTACTGGTCCACCAGTACCAGTCTGTGGTGCAGCAGTACCAGTAGCAGGGCCCCCCCTCACCTGTGCACAGTAGAGGTTCATGAGGCTGAGTGTGAAGAACTGCAGGCAGACGGGGAAGCAGTAGAGCAGCCAGTAGGCGAAGGGTCCGAGTGCATTTGCGGTCACGCAGTCTCTGAAGTAGAAGGAGAAGAGGAGGGCGCGCAGGGCGGCCCACAGCAGACACAGGAACAGGAAGGCCGTCTGGTAGCTGAAACGCTTGTGGCGGTACCGCAGCACCAGCCAGAGCTGGGCGTAGACAAAGGCGAAGAGCAGTGAGTAGAAGATGGTGTAGGCGATGGTCAGGCCCAGCTTCACATAGGGAGGGATGGCTGGTGTGATGGTGGGAGGAGGAGGGAGGTGGGAGCTGTTACCGGCATGCTGCTTGTCCTGAGCAGGGCCCCCCTCCATCGCCTCGCCATTCATTCTCCTGGCGTCCCCCTGCAGAGGGAGGTTAAAGACTGAGCATCAGCCTCCAACCCCCCAGTGAAGAGGAAGAAACGTGTCTCAGCTCATTATACGGAGCCTTCACATCCATCGACTCTGCTCCAGACACCCGTCTGATCCTCAGAGAGGAGGAGGAGGAGGAGGGGCGCCGCCCCTCTTTTTGCCGGTGCCTGGTGGAGAACCATTGGTGGCTGTCAGTCACATGGGCCAGCTCCCCAGCAGCTGATTGGCTGAGCAGGAGGAGGGATGCTGCAGAGAGGGGAGGAAGGTGGAGAGATGGATCTGGAAGGAGAGGATGGTAAACTGGGAACTGTGGTCCACTACACACACAGTTACAGCGTCGTAGCTGTGTGGTTACTGTCAGCAAATGGAAGTTTCCCTCTGAAAACTGTGTAGTTGATTTGAAGGTATGAACAGACGACTGAACCCATAAATACACATGAGAGCAAGTGAGTGGATCAATAATTCAATAATGAGAATGAACAAATGAATGGTTACTGAGTGAATCAGTGACTGAAAGAATGAATGAAGGAAATATTTACTGGTGAGTCAGTGTCACATCCATCATCTGAGACTGGAGCTGATCTGGTTTTAGTGAATGGTAAGTGTGGAGCCTGCTCTCAGTGTGACCCTAATCTAGCCCTGGCCTCCTCGTCCTCCTCGTCCTCCTCGTCTCTCTGCAGCTTCTGTGCCATTACATAACACAGGAAGCTGTGCAGCGCGGCTCCTCTCACCACAATGACGACAAAGCTCCACGCTCGGTTCCATGACAAACCAACAGGATTTGCAAACAACTCAGCGGGAGGACCGACTTCTGAGACCAGACACAGGGGCAAACCTTGGTAACCAACAGGATTTGCAAACAACTCAGCAGGAGGACCGACTTCTGAGATAGCAAAGACTAGACACAGGGGCAAACCTTGGCACCTGGCACATTTAAGTGTATGACTGACTGGCTAACAGGGTTTCTGCAGGTTTCATCAAGTTACATGTAAGACTAAGACCTTTTAGTGAACTTTGAATGCAGTTTAGGACCCACTGTACTTCCAGGGTGGGAATCGCCTCAAAGAAGGTAAAACTAATAGTTTGGGGGTTTCATTTGTTTTTCTTTCCAAAATACACAGATCAGAGGACATTTTGTTGATCAAAATCTTGGCTTCCCCATGTTCTTACATTGTTCTGTTGTCGTACAGAATACACTCAAATCAAAGCCGTTTCATTGACATTTCTTCTGTCATGTCTTCATTTGCATATTTGTCATGTTGGGAATCCAGTAATGTTACTTTAATATTATGACACTCGAATTAGGTGACATCACTCAGTACAGTTTTAACAGGTAATTAATAATTCTGTTGAATGTCAAACCTCCTGGTTTGTATGTATTTGTTTACTGAACTTGAGCATAATAATAATCAAACTGCTGTTACGTCATCTCTGATAACTACAAAGGTAAATGCATCACAGGATAAAGACGCTGACTCAGAACAACTTTGCAGTGACTCCTCTCTCTACGTTGACAAGTGGATCCAAACCATGGCAGCAACATGTCTCCCACAGCAGACCAGTCAGTGATCGCCTGACTGTAGGAGCTGATCCGCCAGCTGTTTGTTTTAGGCTTTTTCAGCATCAAAACTCACATTTCAGCTTGAACTTTTTATGCACATGAGTGGAAATTGGTTCTATAAACCACTTAAGAAGAAACTAAGCACTAGAAAGAGAAACTAGAGCCAACAGCATTGAAAACTTTGAATCCACTGACACAAAAAAGTTTAAGAAAGCTTTCCTGGCTGTAACAGTGCATGTTTTATTTGATTTAATCTTTCTATATATTATTTAAATACATTTGGTGTGTGTGCACTGAGTTTTGTCATTTTTAATTATAATGAACAAAAATGAGCAGTTTAGTAAAAGGGGTTTAAAAATAAATATTAAAAACAATTTAAATCTTCCTCTGTTCCCTATTTCTCCTGCTTTCTCTTGTATTCTTTCCAGTCAGAGGTGAGAGCTCACGTGTTGCCCCGTGGACCATGACCTGTCCACAGAGTCGTGCATTGCCATCATTGACTTCCCGTCACTTTACAAAATATTTTTCCCACTACAAGAAAATCAGCTATTGTATATGCTCATTATCTCACAGCATATATAGGGCAATGTATATTTATATAGTGTATGTTTTTATTTTGCCACTCTCCTTCCTCTCTTCCCATGTAGCTGCTTTTAAAGGGGATGAGAGGAGCTCATGGTGTTGGTCATGACTGAAACTCACCCTGACTCCACCTGCTTCGGCCTCACCTCCACCTTGCACCTAGCTGCACCTGGTTACAACAGGTTTGCACCAACGCCTGTGGTCAGCAGATTGGCAAAACTGTTCTGATCACATTTAAATGCCAGTGCAAGCCAATCAGTCCCATTACAAACACTATACAATTCTTCCATGATTTCCTTGCAGTAGATTATCACTTAGTGACAGTGTGTAACATTTACAGATCTTTAGTTTGCACTAGTTTGTATCAACAACCTCTGTACTCCCTTTTCTCCTACCCTGGAGAGACAACAACAGCTGGCAACATCAGTTTTTAAGCTTGTTTAAAATTTACTCAGTGTGACCCATTATGAGACTGTCCAAGAAAAAAATACAGCATTTGTCATTTCAGCATATAACTAAAAATGGCATTTGTGTACATTCGATGATCATTCAAAGATCTATGGACAGCACAGCTGGTCAGTCAGACCACTTACTGTTACTTTGGTCTTGACTTGAATAACTCATTGTGGCTACAACAGGAACATCAGTAACTCAGTCTGCACTGATCTGCGTATACAGGAACGAGGGATTCTATTCACCCCACTCTTTCTATTCATTAAATCCCTGCAGCATTTAAAAGCAGCAGGAAAGATACACCATGTTGATAAATCTGCAGCCTTGAGACGACAGACCACAGTGTCATATGTTTACCTTCATTAACCGTGTTTAATGCAGTAGATCTTTGACTAGAGATGTGAAACCCAGCATATACAGTGTATAATACTGTATGGCTTGACAATTCCCCTTTGTCCTTAATAAATAAATGTATTTACGTAGATTAGAACTGGCTTTCTCATGTCAACTGTCATCTTTTTTATTTCAGTAGATTGGTCAGTGAACTGAGAATTAATCTTGTAATTGATTCAGAGACTGATTCCTTAAACTGGTTTAATAACTCACATGTTAGTTAAGTGTAATTATTCCACTTTAAAGATACTTCAATTAATATT